AAATACAGTAACATGATTGCAAAAGAAGAGCATTTACAATCCAAGTTCAAAGGTTAAAGTGGATCACTTTCTACATGTGAGTGAAGCAGAGTAGCTAAGTTCCATTCATAGGGAAAGAAAAACCGTTTGGCATCCTGCAGGGCACGTTCTGAAAGACCTCTGTTAGCTGATGTTTGTTCTCTGCCATGACCGACGGGCATGTCTTCACATCAGCCTAAATGAGCTCCTCGACGCTCAAGAGCTGCAGGAGAAAGATGGAGGGAGGCGAGCGGGGATTGATAAAGTGAGCGGGAAAGGAAGAGACTTATGGTGCAAACTGTACTGACTACTCTATATGTCTGCAGGATGTTCAGAGTGTAGTCAGCTGGGTACATTTGTTAGCGAGGCAGGGATTGTTTGGGGCTCAGAGCAGCTGTCAGACTTCGAGGGAAGCAAGCTCACTGCAGATAGACGGAGACAGACCTATACAGCAGATTCATGTCAGCACCCAAAACTCTAATCCATCTCAACTGAGCCGAACAAAGCAAGGAAAGATCAGGGACAGAAACAATGAGACGGTCTGCCAAAGAATAAAGAAGAAAGTTTTTTCTCTCCTCTGTTTGTTGGTGCTTTACTGTTTGTTTAACTGGCAAACAGCAAAGGTTGTGAGCAGTACTCTTACACAGAGCGCCATACGGTGTTTTGTTTTTGTAGACAGTAAGAGCCAGGTGTCGTGACTGATACAAAGCAGATAAATGAATGGGGAAATATCTAAAGAAAGCACAGAGATTCTTGACTTTTTTCACACACACGCACACACACACCAACAATTATACAGTGGCTTTATCAGCCAGTTGTCGTATTCAGTGACCTCGCGTTTCGAAGGCAGTTCAGGTTCAGCTGGCTTTACCCCCAGAGATGATTCTGTTGATTAGGATAGGTTCTGAGGTTGGAGGCGTGCAACATCTGCCTGCCTCTGTCTCCTGGGTGACAACACATGGAGGGACCCCTCCCCTTGTGCTGCACGGCACCTGTTATATGATGCACCTAGACCGTACTGAGTTCCACCCGAATGCATCATCCGTGCCTCTGTTGGGAAGCAGCCGCATCACCCAACCCTCAGCTAGAGACGTGCTCGCCATTAATCATCCATTAAACACTCATCTGCTTGTTTACGTGATTTGTTGTTCCAACTTAGAAGAAAATTATTACATAAAGATTCAAAAACCCATTTGTTTTCATTTACAAATTAGCAATAAAACGGCCACTTTAGTTTGGATTTTATTCAGCAAACTGGTCACCATTTTACCATTTAAAATGTATATTTCAAACTCATGGATAATGCGCTGAATGACAAATTTCAGCACCTAGAAGGCGTGGTCTGATTTGGATGTAATTTGGCCTTTTTGTTTCTCATTTGTTTTTGGGACTTTCCAGGCTGTCAAGAAAGCATCCAAAGCTACAACACTAGGGTTTAGATAAAGAAAGATGAAAAAAAGTCTCAAAACATGTTTGACTTTTTCGGCTTTTTTGTTTTTTGGTTGGTGGTTAGCAATACGTTTGCTGGAAAATTCAAATAAAATAAGTCTGGTGTATTTTAGGTGTATTTTTCACTTTGCAACCAAATATACACAGAGATGGATGCTGCCTTTTCTGTGATTTTAGAAAAAAACTGTGCTGGAATTTTTACCTCTTCATTCAAAATTTTCTGTTTGTAATTATACAATAAAATACACACAGAGGTGTGAGGTGTTCTAATTCATCAGTTTTTGAAAGGTAGGATTATGTGGATGCCAGAATTGTACTACAACCTTATTTAACTTGAACTTGAACTAGTTAACTTATGTTATACCCATTCCATGTAAAACATTGCTTTCCTTGGAACATATCTGACGTTTTATCTACAACTACCTCAGATATAAAGGAAACACGCACATGTTGTGACTTGCAGAGGGAGAGATCCGGATTGCAACACTGTACACTTTTAAACTAAATTTGTCTCAAAAACAATCAAAGACGTGTCCTTGCTTAGCTAGCCTGTAGCCTAGCCTTGACAAAAATGTGTGCCCTTTTCATGCTCTGTGCTTTATGACTGATGTCTTGGTTGGTATGGTACTACTGATAACTATCTGACTCTTCAAAAATGACTGGACTGTTTCACAGCTTCAAACAGCATGGAATACATTTCCATGATTATGCTGATGATACACAGTTATATTTGTCCATGAAACCCAACAAATCCAATCAGTTATTTAGATTACAATCGTGTCTTAAGGGTGCATTCACACCAGCCCTGTTTAGTCCGCTTTAATCGAACTCTAGCTCGTTTTCCTAGAAAGTCCGGTTCGTTTAGGGAGGTGTGAACGTGCCATCGAACTCTGTCACGGAACAAAAATGCAAACTCTGGCCCGGGCTAAAACCTAGGTCTCGGTCCGGTAGAAGAGAACTCTAGCGCGGTTCGAGTACAGTGTGAATGTAAACAGACCGGGCCCCGCTCCACAGGACCAACAAACACGCATTTCTCTGACCTTATATGGAGCCGTCAGCTGCCTTGTGTGAAAAACAACATTCTCCATGGTCTTCTGTCTCATCTTCGGCTCATGCTAAGTCCATTTTTGAAAAATGACAAAATATAACTCCTAAAACTGCTAAAACTTGATGCCACTTCGTTTTTATTTACAGAAGAAGAAGAAGACGTGTGTCGTTTCTTTCAGTAGTTCTTGGTGCAGCGCCCCCACAGGCGAGCGGGGGAATAGGTTGGTTCAACAGGTTGGCTCGACTGCACAGTGCAGTGTGAATGCAAATGCACCAGCTCAAATGTAAACAAAATGTCATGAATATTGGTCCCGAACCGAACCGAGTCTACCGGACTATCAGGTGTGAAAACAACCAAGACATAATATCCTGGATGACCCTAAATTTTCTGCTTTGAAACTCAGACAAGACTGAGGTTTTGGTTTTTGGACCTGAGCATAGGAACAAAGTTTGCATTCTTTCACTTTCTCTGGATGGTATTATTTGGCCTCCAGTTCTAAAGTTAAAAATCTTGTCCAAAAATGATGCAGAAAAACTGGTTCATGCATTTGTCATGTCTAGACCTGATTATTGCAATGGTTTATTATCTGGTTGTCCAAATACTTCTTTAAAAAGTCTTCAGTTATTCCAAAATGCTGCTGCCTGAGTTTTAATGAGAGATGATAGGGATATCTCTCCAGTTTTAGCTTCTCTCCACTGGCTCCCTGTCAAATTCAGAATATAATTTAATATCTACTTCTAACCTACAAAGCTCTCAACAACCTAGCTCCATCTTATAAAACAGATCTTATTGTTCCATATTTTCCTAAATGAGCACTTCACACTCAGGCTGCAGGTTTACTTGCGGTTCCTAGATTTTCCAAAAAACGGAATGGGAGGCAGAGCTTTTAGTTATCGGGCTCCTTTCTTGTGGAACCAACTTCCAGTTTCTGTCCGTGAGGCTAACGTACTGTTTACTTTTAAGATAACAGTAGTCCTTCCCTTATCGTGGGGTTGTGTTCGGGACACCCCCGCGATAGGTGAAAATCTGCGAAGTAAGGCTATTATATTTATTTTAGTATTTACATACATTGTAAGGCCCTCCCAAACTATTGCAATGTTCTTAACGCTATAAATCTCTAAAAGAGCACAGCGTGTCTTGATCTCCGCTCTCTGCCATCTGCCACGCCCACTTCTCTGCCGCAATCACACTCATGCTCATTACCTGTGTCACTCCCAATCTCCCTCCTGCTGCACATGCCTTCCATAAACATTTTTTTAATGTTCTTCTTCTTTTAGCTGCTCCCTTCATCAAAGGTCGCCACATCAAACTAAGTCGCATGAATTAATGTAAATTTAAATAATAGTTCAAATAAACAATCCATGCCTCATGAGCAGAAACAGCCTGAAGAAGAAATGTTTCTCAATTAAAGAAACAGTTCCAGATTACACAATTTAACCTTTTTTGTTGTTTTCTACCTGGATGATGGAGCTTATAACACTTTTTCTGAGCCACTTTGGCCTTGGTTGTCCTCAGGCTGTTTCTGTTCTGTTTCTGCTGTTTCAAGTTGGCCACCCGGCCTACATTTGATTGTTGTACATGATGATTGATTGTTTTGAATGGGTGTGTTTTACATGTACTAAAAGTCTACTTTTGAGATTCCAACAATATCATGTATTTTTGGACAGATCTGATTGGCAGGCCATAAACTGACAAAGTCCGTTGGATGGGTAACAAAACATTTCCTCACTTAAAGAAACTGGTCCAGATGACTCGATTTAACCTTTTTTTTTTTAAATGTTTTTTGTCTTTCCTCCTAAAGTACACCTGGACCTGCCATTCTGTGTTTGTCTGTTTCTTCTTCCTGTTCCTCTCAAACCCAGCCAGTGAAAGCAGACGGCCACTCGTCCTGAGCCTGGTTCTGCTGGAGGTTTCTTCCTGTGAAAGGGAATTTTTCCTTTCCAATGTCTCCTTTGTGCTTGCTCAGGATGGGAGACTGTGAAGAAGTGAAGATTCAACACAACCTGCTGTTTCCTTTGATAGATACAGTTTACTAATTAGCTTGTATATGTATGTGGATGTTTCTGTTCAGTCCCCTGAGACAACTTCTGTTGTGACTTGACGCTATAGAAATAAATTGAATTGAAACAAATCTTTTATCCAACTTCTCACTGTACCTGTCCACATAAAGCTATAATTCTGTCACAATTACGGTACAAGTTGTAAGGATGGTACCATTTACTGGCCCTGTTTGTGTCTGTGTGTCCC